GAACCTTCTTGCTGCAAGGCAACAGCTCTACCAACTCCGCCACTGTGCAGCCCACATCTGCAAAATTGCTTCAGTTATTGTGTTTAAGAAGACTTTTAACTTTTTCTAAAGTACGGAAATATCTTTGCACATAGAAACAAAATCTTCAATAAACTCTGCCCCAGTTCTGCTTATTTAGTTAACTGTTCATGAGTTTACAGGAATGACTGGTGTGGTCTGGCTTTCTTCTACCCGTTTAAGATGTGGCTATGACTGTAAATTGTCACATGCTACATCACATGTATCCTTAAGCATCATCAGGCAGCAAACGACTGCAGGTATCTCACACACACTGCTATGATAACCTGACTCAGACAAAATATCAAAAAGGTGTGATTACCTGACTCAGACAGGAAGTGTTTCACCACACTGCTTGTCCCCAGTGGTGTTACATAATTCTTGTTGCCCTCTTTGTGCTGCAGACCTTCAATGTGACAGTCCAGTGGCTTAAGTAGGCCAGCTGATAGCAACTCTGTATAAAAACTGAACATACACATAATCAGAAACTGATACCTGGATGTTTGTTAACGTCAGAAATGATCAGGTGAGGCGTACTTGCTGTGGGACTGAGCATATGCAGCAGTGGCTGTAATGTACTGGGCTCCAAGGTCAGCAGAATGAGATGTAGGGTCAGGAGGACGGCTGGTAGACATCCTACCCCCTGGCACAGAGTGGATATACAGAGGGTTGGAAATCTGCACAAAGGCATGTCTATAAAGAGCTCCACTTAAACACTTAAAAGTGCAAAAAAAAAACAACCCAAAACTTCTTTTTGCTGTCTTCATAGATTATTTAGGAATTTATCTTTAGAATAGAATAGAATAGAAAAGAAAATACTTTATTAATCCCCAAGGGGAAATTGCTTATTTGTTGAAAGCTACTCCATACATACAAAGTTTGTTATATATATATATATATATATATATATATATATATATATATATGCCTAAGAGTGATAAGTTCAAAATGACTAGATATAAACAAATAAATAAA